TTTTATAGTAAGATGTAATTTTGGTGTCAAAATTTTTAGGATGGCATAAAAATCCTTTGTCATCTCTAATTATAAAATTTTAAACTCCAAAAATGATTCAAATCAAGTAGATTTATAAACACATAAAAATATTGAAAATGGACGGTTCAAATAATATGTTGTAAGATACACTAATTTTGGTATTCAATATCATTTTTGTTCCTTATATTCATATATTTCAATATCGAGATGATCAATTAAAATATTTTTCAACATCAAAACAACCTTTTCCGATGGGTTTTTAAGGTGCACCTTAATCCTACAATTCAAAGTTGCAACCTTATATAAGCTTTTTCCTTTAAAAATAAGTTTGGTTTATATAACGTGTGAACGACCTTAAGCAATCAATGTGGGCCACACCTCCAAACCTTGCCAGAGTTATGATGCCAAAAACTCGTACAATAGTATGAAAATCTATTTACATATCTAATTATGAAAAATAGAGTTCTAAAATTAGTGTGGATTGATCATATCTATAAACACTTGAAAATCTTGCAAATGGACCGTCAAGACGATGTGTTACAAAATGCAATATTTTGATAGCTACAGTGTCAGCCAATGGTCCATATTCAATCTAGGCCGATCTGACGGTCACGACCTCATTTCGTATTTGGATTTTCATTTTTTTTTCTACAAATCCAAATCACTTGGAATTTGGAGCGTCTATTTTTAAGAAATATAAGAATCTAATAAAATATCTCGAGGGTATTTTGGATAATTTATATTTTTCGAATTATTTTTTTATATTTTTATTGGGTGTTCCTTGATGAGAATCATGAACGCCTAAAATTTCAAGTGATTTGAATTTGTAGAAAAATAAAATAAAAATTCAAATATGAAATGAGATTGTAATCGTCAGATCAGCCAAGATTGAATCTGGACAATTGGATGACACTGTACCAGTCAACCCATAGTCTAACATAATCCACACCCATATAAATATAAATATATATATATATATATATATATATATATAGACAATCAAAAGGAGAATTTTTTCAACATCAGAATGCTTTTTTCTTATACATTTGTGAGATGCGTTTTACAAGGTTAGCACCTTGTATAATCTTTTTCCTCAAAATTTGTAGCCAAATAAACACTTATTTCTTTTGCTACAGAGTTGTCCTCACAAAGTAAAAGTAAGTACAAGAAATTGAATCGCATATAAATAAGGGAAAGTATATAATGAGATCATTTATCTTTGGTACAAGGTGGTCACAATTAATATTGACTATTAGGAGCGAAATAGTGTGGCTGTATTTATTTCATTGACCAAGCTCAAAGATCAAAAGAAATTTTCTCGAACTTTGTGACACATGCAAGCTATCAGATTCACATCGGATGGTTATAAGTAATTGTGAAATCCATGTAGCAAAAGTAAATGGTCTCATTGTATACAATCTTGGTAAATAAAACCTGTTATAAGTATGGAAAGCAAGAAACATAACATCCTAGGCTCCGTGTCCACCATTAATACTTCAAAAAAAAAAAAAAAATGAAAGAAAGCAAGAATTACTACATTCTTGAGTTTGTAACACCAAGAAAATGCATTTTTAGTTTTAAATAAAATTACTTAAGCATTCTGAAGTTATACATAAATTTAATTAATTTCCTAAAGACCTATATATTGGATTGTCAATCAAAAAGGCAATAAAAGTTCGGAAAATTTATTTAACTATACCTATAAGATATGAATTATTTAACATTGTACTTATATCTTTTGATTTAAAATACCCATAAAAAGACATGTGATCATTAATTAGAATGGTTATAAATAGATAAAATGTTGAATAGCGTGAGAAAGATGATGACACAATACTGGAACAATCCGCTTCTCAATTAGTGTAACAATGTCACATTAGTTCAAGACTCACAACCAAAGAGATTGAAGAAGAACAATCAAGATGAGGTGGAAGAAAAATTTTCATTCAAAGATGAAAATTGAGTACCCAAAGGCATTACAATCTTGATACCTAAGATTAACCTTAGTACATATGCTCCAATTTTCTCGCCACACACATTTCTTTAAATAGAGGCTCTTAAAACCGTATTTACTACAATAATTATCCACTTTCAACAATAATTACTAACCACTAGTAGTTTCATAACTTCATACTACACAAACTTACAAGTTTAACCTCACTACCTCACTCATAATAAAATAAAATAAAGATTGATATAATTTCTAGAAAATACAATTCAACAATTTTAACAAATAGTTCATCTCTTAGAGCATATTGTTTAGGGAACTTATTTCTTTAGAACAAATAAGTCCCTAAAACTGTAGAAATCTCGTGTTTGACACACAAGAAGTACTACAGTGTTTGAAACTTATTGGAATATTTTTATTCATCAACTTTCTCATTTTTCACTTAAAAAGAATAACTTTTTTGCTCCATGCCCAAGGCAGGAGCTTAAATTTGGGAACATATTTTTGCCCCAGACCCTGATATTTATTTTATCGATGTTATTTGAATTATATATATATATATATATAAACAATATATTATATTATATTGTGTTATATAACACTACATGATATATATCAATATAATATAATATTATAATATTCTCCATGATCGTAGTATTATTAATATAATATATAATATTATTATAGCATATAATAAATATTAAATTATTTATCATATATAATTGAACTATAAATTAATAAAATGAATATTATATACATTATAAATTATATTTTATAATATATATATATATATATTCTTCAACATTTTAGCAGGTAATTGGGATATGGGTAATTGGGATAGCAGGTAATTGGGATATGGGTCAATTCTATCGCATTATTTTTTTAGGCACTAGTAGCTCATTTATCAATTGGGGGCAATTTGTATAAGGCATCACCTTTAAATAATCCAAGTAAGGCACGCTTCCAAATTATGGTGAAAGAAGTAATTTTGGTGCCAACCAACTTTGCAATGGTCTAAAAGGTTATTCTTTTTATTTAATTGTGAAATTTAAAGTTCTAAAAATAGTGCAAATCAATTAGATTTATAAATACTTGAAAATCTTGAAAATGAATAGTCAAAATAATGTAGTACAAGATGCAGTGTTTTTTTTTTACCAAAAAAAAAAGATGCACTATTTTCAAGACTTGAAATTGGTTTTTTTTCATAACGATGGGCCTCAAAGTCAAGATAGTCAATTAGAGGGTTTCACGTTATAAAAACAATATGCTTTGGGGTGTTTTTGAAGTAGGCCTCCCACAGTATAATTTTACACCTTATATAAACTTTTTTCTTGTCAATTTAATTCTTTATTGAAGTGCGGTTGCTGCCCCACAAATAATTATACAATTTGCTACGGCGAGACCATATTATGTAATGGGCAATAAAATTTAGCCCCCTGACCCTATGCATTCTTCTATACAACATGTTTTCAAGTTTAATTATATTAATATGTCTAATTTAACTCTGTTTTTAGAGTTTAATTATATTAAGGACTCGGTTTCTATGCGGGCTTGGCAATAAATTATTTTTAAAATATAATTTGAACTTAATTTCTAGAGAATATATAATCTTTAATTTGGAGATCAGGAATATAATATTTTTTTTTGAAAACTAGAAATAATAATTATATTAAGAAAACATTTGGATAATTAGTTACATTTGTTTTTAGATGAACCACCTATTTGCATCCATCTTTAAGATGGATGCTTTATACCTCTGGACCGCATATTGTAGAAATGCGGTCCAGCCCGCATGATACAAATTTTTTTTATATTACTATGTCTAATTTAACTCAAATGTGCTTGAATGGCTTCACGGTTAGTCCTCATGCTAATGTTTTAATGCGGTTCTACAAGAATAGAAACTCAGGACCTCTTATAAAAAGATATATTGATGTGAGGCAGCCTAACCAGCACACTTGTTAGCTGATTGATATATGTGTCGATTATATTATATGTAACAATTTTTTTCTTTAGTTTTTTTTTTAAAAAAGAACTGGACTCGGGCGAGTATCTTACCTTGACCAAGGATTGAGTACCTCGGTCGAATCTTAGAACGCTCGGTAAAAGTAATAAAAACCGGTACTATTCTTCTTAATTTGATGACTTAGGCATTTTAGAGATGAAAAAAAGCGTAATTTCGTATATTTTACGCTAAAAAAATGTGGGGAGAGGGGGAATTGGTCCTAGTTTTCAAAATGTGAGGGCGTCTATGGGTTTACAGGGGCCATGTGGTTTTTGTGGACCATAGATTACAAAGGGCACTACGTCATCTCCTTTTGGAAAATGGTTTGATAGGACTGCAGCCCTACCAGAGTAAGCAAACCCTCACCTCATAAGTCATCTTAAATCACAATTCAAGCTTTGGAAAACATTTACATCGATCATATTGACTTGAACATTATAGTTGTGAAAAAAAATTAGGATTTTAAGATCTAAAAATAGTGTACATTATAACAAATTATCTAGACCGACCATTTTATCCTAAAAATAAATGTTCACAAATCCACAAGATCTGTAGATTTTTTTAGTTTCAAATTTTGTGTTAGAAATTGATTTTAGAGCCAAGAGAATTTTTGTCCTGAAAGTACTTTCCGATCAATGATTTAAGGTGAGCATTTGTTTTGTTTTCATAAGACCTATGCTTTATAGAAACCTCATCCTTCTAGTTTAAACTCACAGGAAAATTGTTTGACACGGGCTCGACCACTTTTCTACCTATGGGGTCTAGAAAAAGTTTGAAGTATCTATGTTAAAGATAGATGAAAGTATTTGTTCCATCTAAAAATAATAGAAATTAATAGGAATTATTATTTATAATTTTTAAAATTTATTTATCTTTTCATATTCAAGATGTACATGTTAGAGATTACATGTACTTGAAAATTAAGTCTTCAAATCCATCTCAAAAATAGATTTATAAGAGTCCCGCATTTCTACATATACGGGCTTGGCCGTATAGAAACGGGTTCCAAATTTAGACCGACAACTCCTTCACGCTCTTCCTTTATCCCTCTGTGTCGGTTCCTGGAATTCTTTCTTTGCTCTTCCAGCTCTCGGGTGAGTTGTGTAGGAGAGGAAGGTGTAGGAGAAGATGTCGGAAAAGTTCTCAGCCACGTTGAGGGTTGGTGATCTCAACGACTTCATTGCCCCCTCTCAGTCCTGCATAGTTTCTTTGAAGGGCTACGAGCCGGCCTCTAAACCAGAGAGAGCTTCTGATAAGGTAAGCGAATTCATACGATTTCGTGGAATTCATATGATTTCTTCGATAGATTCCTTTACTAGTTTCTGATTCATACTGGTTCTTTTTCCATCTTGAATCCGGAATACAAGTTTGCATCGTATATTACCAAATTCATTTTTCTTTTGCCCTTATGAATCTGAAAAGTAAGTTGCAGGTTTTTCTAATCCTGAAATATTCTTTCGGTATTTGTTTCTTTTGGTAAATTGGTATATATTTTTCATCTATGTAATGAACCCAACGGGTAATTCAAGTGAACAGTTGAGGGAATAAATTAAACTATTAAATACAATAATATTGTATTGTGGTTGGTAAGTGAAAGATTAAGGATTTATTTTTGTAAAGAAGTAGGTTGAGTCTCTATCAGAGACGGTAGAAACTCAATTAACACAGTTAACATCTTCTACCATTTTATTCTGAACCACGCAAAGCTAATTGTAGGAAAAAATAAAATCTCTCGTTTTCCATTGATAACTTATTGTTGACATTTGTTATTTGTATTTTCTTTACTAATTCGGATTTTGGGCTTGGGCTTGGGCTTGATTGGTTAGTCGTCGACGATTCCTGCTAAGTCCCAACTTTGAATACTACGACTGAACTGAATTGTGAAGTAACTCTCTTTTGTGAGATTAGATGTTTATTTTATGGAAAAAGTTTATATAAGAATGCAACCTTATAATGTAGAACTACAGATGCACCTCAAAAATCCATCGGAAAAAGTAGTTTAATGTTGAAAAACACTTTGATTGATCATCTCAACATCGAGATTTATGACCCTGAAAAATATAAAGATTTTAAGTCTCATAAATAGTGCATTTTACAACATATTATCTACACCATCCATTTTC